CTGGCCTATATACTTCATATAGTACCATTTATCCAATAAATATTTTAACTTAATAATTTTTCTTGCTCATTTTTGTGTATCTGATATATTTCTTATAAAACATGTAAGGATTTAGAATATAGAAACATATTGACAGATTAAAATACAGAAATAGAAAGAAAATAATAAAATGAAATAAAAGAAAAATTTAGCCCTCATAAATATAGGGTGCATCAAGAAAACATATACACACTTTAACAGCTGATATTTCAATTTTGAAAATGAAATTTATTTTAACAAACACTGACTTTATAATTATTCAAAGTGTGTGTATGTATTTTGGGGGACATCGTATATCTAGCTTAAGGATTATAACCAGAATTTTTCAAATTATATTCCAAGGAACACTAGTCCTTTTGCATGTTAATAGCTATGAAATAAAAAAGAAGGATGAGGCTTTAAGATAGTAGGTAGATAGACAGACACAGGAGTGAAAAAAATTAAACAATTCTATTACAATATTTCTCAGAGCCTTTAAAAATGTTAATCTCCATGAGCATCTGTCAGGATTTTTGTTCCATATAATTAAATCACAGCATTTTCTCAAAGTTTTTTGTAGCACTTAAGGCTAAGACAGATTTCTCTCTATTTTATTAAAGAAAGAAGGAATCCTATTTAATAAAAGAGTAATATGCAAATTAACCAGCACTCCGCTATACCCACAAGCTAAGCCCATCAGCCAATCAAGAGTGAGTATGCAAATTAACTCAACCAAGATGGCTGCAGCCACAGAGAACAGGAGTGAGGCTTGGGTTTCCCCAGTGATGGAGGAAGTCAAGCTTTCCACACACCATGGCCAGCCCAGGCCTCTGCTTAAGGCTACAAAGTTTCGATTATAGAAAATAAATAAATTCCAACAGAAATGGCTGCCACCATAGAGTGAGTAGAAGGCATGGCTTCACTGCAGGCTACAAAGTTTCAATTGTAGAAGATAAACAAATCACAGATACCAGGGCTTCTGCTTGAGTTTCCGGGAGCCATGGCTGGCTTGTAAACTACCACAGGTCCCTCGCCCAGGCCACCCCACACCCCAAGGGAACACCCACCCTGATCAGGACACCATTCAGGACAAACTATCTGGCCCCACCCATGTACCAGGCCTCTATCCTATCTAATAAAAGAATAATATACAGATTGACCATCATTCCAACACACAATATGGCTGCCCCATGTGTCAAAGATGGATGCCCCCATGTGGTCACAGGATGGCCACCACAAGATGGTCAGCAGGGGAGGGCAGTTGGGATGGACCAGGCAGACAGAGCAGAGAAGTTGGGGGCAAACAGGCTGGCAGGGGAGCAGTTAGACACCAATCAGGCTGGCAGGGGAGTGGTTATGGGGTGATCAGAATGGCAGGCAGGCGAACAGTTGGGAGCCAGCAGTCCTGGATTGTGAGAGGGATGTCCCAGATTGGAGAGGGTGCAGGCTGGGCTGAGGGACACACCCCTTCCTCCCTGTGCATGAATTTCGGGCACTGGGCCTCTAGTTGAGTAACAAAATCCTAAATATCATTTCTTCAATAAATTCAATAGTGTTTTATGTAGATATGGTAATGTTGCATATATAATTTTCTACTAATTTTATATTGAAAACAGTGCTTTATCAAGCTGTGTAGACTTGATAGCAGTTTTAGAATTAAAATTATAAAATGTTAGAGATAGATATTTTGTTTTTAATTTTTGCATTTTTATTTGCATTATTTTTTATGTTATATAAATTATATATATATATATATATTATAGTGTCAATTTATAGCATATAAATGCACAAGGAAAAAATAACAATAAATCTAATAGCAAGATCTAAACTTTTGTTTAAACCTTTTTATACACAAACACCTAAAAAGCATAGAGGTGACTCTGTTTAGATGCCTCCAGTTTGAGAGAATAGGAAACTTGTAATTATGATAAAAATTGAAAAGGGTTGTAAAATAAATTTATATGTTTCATTTAGTATGGTTTTAGTTTTCACAAAAATTCTTACCTTATTCAATTTCTAAATGCAAATGTTGACACTGCATTATTTACTCAATTTTAAAAAGATAACAAATTTACAATCTTATAAATTTATACATAGGTAAAGAGATAGGTAGGTAGGTGATCGATAGATGATAGACAGATAGATATATAAATAATAGGTCTATATGAATTCTATAAGAAAATAAGTTACGTGTGATGAATTCTCATTTCCCAAACAGACATTTAAAAGCACTTTTCTTGGGAATGATTTATTGTTTCTTGATTATCAGAAGCAAAATAATAAGTACAAACCAAATTATTTACATTTTGTTTTTTAAAGTTCATTTTTAAACACATTAGATAAAAATGCAAAATTAGAAATTTATTTTAAGCAGCTATTAATGAAGGCATATACAGATGTAATACTGTGCAGCTATTATCTATATTGTATAAAATGCTCCAGTGAGTGACTTTGATGAAACTTCAGTAAAATAAAAAGCATAACTTTTACTTTATACCTTTTCCAGTAGTTGAGGAGAAGGCTGAGAAAGATGAGAGTAAGGACCAAGAATTTCTTGTGAGGTCCGGTAGAGCAAACAATATCAGATAAGGTCAATCCTTCTATATATGTAGACATGTTATTCATGTGAAAAGTCTATTAGCATATTTAAGACAGAAGAAAGTATCTACTATATTAAATTCTTTGAAAAATATACTTATAATATTGAGTTAAAAAAACAGATATCGCCGAAACCTGTTTGGCTCAGCGGTAGAGGGTCGGTCTGCGGACTGAAAGGTCCCGGGTTCGATTCTGGTCAAGGGCATGTATATTGGTTGAGGGCACATCCCCGGTGAGGGGTGTGCAAGAGGCAGCTGGTCGATGTTTCTCTTTCATCAACGTTTCTAGCTCTCTATCTCTCTCTTCCTCTCTGTAAAAAATCAATAAAATATATTTTTAGAAAAATCACAGATATCTGCACACCTAAGAAAGTATAAAATATCTAGGCCACTTGAAAAACTATTTCTGTTACTAAATTATAACAGAACTCATATTACTTCACTATAGAAATTACTTTTTTTCTGAAAAAAGTAATTATATATTTGTTTTAATATTATTAATATTTTATGTGATATTTAATGAAATTGCATTGCCTTTGTACATCTGAATAAAAAGATTTGAGATTTAACACAATAAAGTTTGATCCTTAGAACATTTAAAAACTACATTTAAACCAAAGTTTTTAACATAAATTGTTAAATTGTTTTGTCTTTTTAAGTCATAATTAAGTTAAAGAAAAATGAACATAATTTCTAGATAATTTTAACATTCAGGATAGAAATCCTTGCTAAGAGTTATTACAGAAATTCTAAGAGATTCTAACTGCTGACAACATTGTTTTGTTTGGATTATTCCCTAAAGACCAAAAGAAAAAGCTTACAAGCAATTTATAAATGAATATTTCTCTCTGTGGAGCATTATTTGTTCCATTGAGATACTAATTTTCTACTACTTCTCTTGTTATTATAAAATTAAGCCTTTAGGGGAACTGCATAATTAACTATAGTAATATTAAATTTTGAAATAAAGGAGTTATACATTATACTTAGTATTCATCTATTGTTTTCTTTATAAACATTTATTTTTAGAGTATGCAACCTGAAATAAAATAATGTAGCAATTAGGTATCATAAGAGTGGACTCTATATACCATTAAACCAAAATTAGACAAAAACTTAAGGCAGTTTGCTATTTGAAATCATGAGGACTCTATGCTAGAAATTCTTAATGATTAGCTATGCAAAGAAATTTGGGACAGTGTTCTAATAAAAACTTGTTTTGCTGAAAGAAAATTATATATTGTATTCTGAGAATTTTACTGAGTGTTCCACTATAGGCATTGATGTCATAATCAGTACTGCCATGGTACTGATAGAAAAGGTCTTTGTCACCCTGGCTGCTTTGGCTCAGTGGATGGAGCATCTGCCTGAGGACTGAAGAGTCCCAGGTTTAATTCCACTCGAGGACATATGCCTCGGTGTGGTTGAAACCCTGGTGAGGGCATGCAGGAGGCAGCCGATCAATGATTCTCTCTCATCACTGATGTTTCTACCTCCCTCTCCCTTCCTCTCTCTGAAAAGAAAACAAAAACAAAAAACAACAACAACAACAAAAACCCAAAAACAACACACACACACACACACACACACACACACACACACACACAAAAAAAAAAAACAAAAACAACAACAACAAAAAAAAAACACAGAAAAGGTCTTAGTGGCCTTACCAAAATGCTTTCCAGGGAATCTGAATTGTCTGAATTATTTCCAACAGTCTTAAGTTTGCAGTTTAACTTAATAAAAAAGATACATGCTTCTTCTGTGTAACAGAATGGGACTAGCATTCCAACAAGATTTCTTTCTATATGGGTGATATTGTCTGTCACACTCTGGATGACTGGCTAAGACAAAGTTTTCTCTAACCTGGTGAACTGCATTATTTTTTCATTGGATTTCCTATGACCAAGCTAGCTCACTATAGCTTTTAAGTAGGCAGGAAAATATCTTTTGGAGTATTTTTAGCAAGTGTAATGATTTGTAATTAATATCAAAATTAAATTTGGTGCCATGACCTGTTTGGCTCATTGGTTAAAACATTGGCCCAAGGACTAAAGAGTCTTGGGTTTGATTATCAGTGAAAGGTACATATCTGGGTTGCAAGTTTGATTCCCAGCTCTGGTCAGGGGGACAATTTGCTATTTTCAAATAGCAAATTGTCTCTCTCACATCAATGTCTGTCTTTTTTCTCTCCTCCCTTCTACTCTCTCTAGAAATAAATGCAAAAAATATCCTCGAGAGAGGATTAAAAAAATTAAAGTTGGTAAAAATATAAAATCATTTATTTTTGCTCTATGGTTAAATTAAAATACTTTCAGGACAAGGACATATAGAATGTTTAATATGACTGTATTAAACAAAATGCTTCTTTTTATCTTTTTATAGCCAATTGGTGCTTTGAACCCAAAGAGAGCTGTGTTTTATGCAGAGCGTTATGAGACATGGGAAGATGATCAAAGTCCACCCTACCATTATAATACACATTATTCAACAGCAACATCCACCTTATCCTGGCTTGTTCGAATTGTGAGTATCTTCATTCTGTTACATTTTGCCTCTAATTCTTCAAAGGTTTCCATATAAGTAAATGGAATAAAAATAAAATATACTACTTAATTTGTTTTAAACAAAGATTAGAGATCCCAAAATGAGGAATCCCAAATTCTAGCAAAACCTGAAGCCTTTTTTTTTTTTTAAGTGAGCTGTCCCATTTGCAAAATTGGGTTAAGAAGATATATTATTATGATCCAGTTATAAAGGGAGGAAACACTGAAGTGCATCTTTAATACCCACTGTTTCCTTTCTCACTGATTGTCACAAACTGACACTCTTCCTTCTTGGGCAACTTTTAAAAACAGTTTTAAATCTTTTGAACACTTTGTTTTTGCTTTTTTCCCCCTTCTAACATTTAAATAAATTCAAGTCTCTTTTATGTAATTAATTGTCTCCTTCTATCCCCACCCTGTAAGACCATAAATAAACACCATTTTCAAAAATGGATTCCTCATCTCCCTGGCAAACTTGATGTGATTCCTGCTGCATTTTCTATCTAAATAAATGGCACCCAGTTATTCAATTTAGATATTTCCCCTGTTTTACATTCCCTTATATCCAATCAGATATTACATCAGATAGGTTCTACCAACTAAATACCTCTGCAAACAACTTTTCTCTATTAACTCTGGCATTTCCTTAGTGCAGGTTCCCATTATTTTTCATCTAGATTATTGCAAAAACTCATAACCAATATCTTTGCTTTCTTCAGTCTAATCTATTATATTTAAGAGCAGTTACTGGAATCAGATGATCTGATTTTTTTATTTTATTTTTTTACCATAAGTAACCAAGGAGTATTCTAATCAAATTTTTAAATCAATGCAATTAATAGTTTTTCTCCTTATCAAAATATACTTCAGACCATCTTAGTGCATGAAGCTGGTTTGCCATAGAAATACATGCTAAAGTAGTATGCATGAAAATGTGCATATATGGCAGTGCATCTTCTATTTTCAAAGATTTTTTTTTTGCCCTCAGCCTAAATGACAGTATTCTCTACATATTGAGAAAAAATTGAGCTTACTGCCATTATATGATATATGACTATGTTTTTAGTAACTGGTAAGTGATATACCACAAACAATTTCTGTTAAAAAGAAGTTTGTCGGAATTATGAGTTCATTTAATTGAAAACAAGTTCTTTTTTTTTTCATAATACTAAATCAGCATAAAAAGTTTAAGTTTAGATTAAATAGTTTATAAGAAAACAAACCCAAATCTTAATTTAAAAAATCAGCTCTGTAATTATAAACTAAAGGAAAACACAAGACTTTTTTTATAGATCAAAGTTGGTTGTCTCAATTGTTAAAAAATTCAGCTTAATTATGTGAATTTGTTGGGTTTTTTGTTTGTTTTGTTTTGTTTTTACTTGAATATTTCAGAGCTAGCAGTTTCCTAAGAAATACTTTTTTTTACTCTAGCACTTCAAAAGTATAAGAAGTCCTATTTTTTATTTTCTGTTATTTTGGGGGGAATATGAGATTTATGTAAATGACTTTTACCACTATAAATTAGTCAGAACAGAACACCTTTAGGTTGTGGGTTGTAATAATTTATTAATAATATCTATACATAGGAAAATACTTCACACACACAAAAGAAGTAAAGGCTTTTCTGAATTACAGACACAAAATTTAGAGATAAATTATGGTTTCTTTTCTGCAGTTTCAGCCACATGGTAAAACTAAATACAGAAGCACAAAAATTTGCCAGTCAATATCTTCAAGAGTTGGTGTCCTTTATAGTGGACATAAAAAATATTCTCATTTAATTTAGGCTCACAAACAGGCAAATAAGAAAACAAAATGACTAATTTATTAGATTCTCTGACCACCAGGTTGTCATAAAACCAAACTCAACCATTATTGCCATTAGTAGGAAATAACTTATTAAATGTATATGTTGTAAATGTTATAACAAAATATCAGCAAAGGATGTTTAAAAAAAAATAGAAAAAAAAAGTGTCAGTAGAGTTAAAGTTCTGCTTGCTGTTTAGTAGTCACTCTGGAAGCCAAGGAAAAACAAACGTGGGCTTAAGAAGCCCTTGAGATAGAATTCCTAAGCTGCACAGTCAATTTGACTTCATCTAGATAGTGCACATGTAACTCGAAGAGGGATTTCCAAAACTGTTAGAGAAGAAAATCTTTAGAAAGCATGTAAACCAGAGATATTCAACCTGAGAGTCTTTTTCATATCACCTCCTGTCCCATCAAGGACAATTATTGCTTTACTGAACCACTGCCATGGGGAGGGGGGGGGTAAGACACCTCTCTCAAGTCTTTTGGAGATTAAAAAAAAGTCAAGAACAATTTGTGAAAAAACATTATCAAGGAGGGTGTTCTGAGAAATAAATGAGAATATATATTAAAACTAGGGGCCCTGTGCACAAAATTCGTGCACTGGGGAGAGGTCCCTTAGCCCAGCCTGCCCCCTCTCACATACCAGGAGCCCTAAGGGGATGTCCTACAGATGGCTTTAGCCCGCTCCCCATTGGGAGCGCACATAAGCCACAGTCTGGTCTCCTTTTGCTTGAGGCGACTGGGCTGATCAGGGGAAGGCACCAGCCCCATAACCCCCACTGCTGCAGCCACTGCCAATCACCACAGCTGCCAAGGTGTTTTCATCAACACAGACTCCGGTCCCTTAACCATGAAAAAAATGACAACTTTCTTTAAGCATTTTCAAGATGTGTCTTTCATAGGATATGACATTTCTTTCTTTTTCTTTTTTCCTCACCTGAAGATATGTTTCCATTGATATTTCCCCCTTCTCTCCAATCCCAAGCTCAGCCCCTTCCCAAGCCTAAAGCCTCCGCCCCAGGTTTAGGCTTGGGAAGGGGTTTCCCCCAGCACCTCTGATCGTATGCTTGGCCCCTTCCCAAGTCTAAAGCCTGCGTCTCAGGTTTAAGTTTGAGAAGGGGTCGTCACCCCCCACCCCCAGCCTCTGATCACAGCCTCTGCCCCTTCCCAAGCCTAAAGCCTCTGCCTGATGGCGGGCTGGGAGTGACCTGGGTGCCAAGGATATTCCCTGGACCCAGATATGTATGCAAATTAACCACCATCTTTGTTGGGTTAATTTGCTTACTCACTCTGATTGGCTGTGGGCATAATGAAGGTATAGTCAATTTACATGTTTCTTTATTATTAGGTAAGATACATATATTAAATATTAAAATACCCTATTTATGATAGTACTTTGAAATATATAAAGTGCAATTCAGTGTTTATGTGTAATCAAATTAGTATAAAGTCAGATGTATAAGACTTGTGTGAATCCATAAAAGTACCTATTATTAACAGCTTGATTTCAGTTTAGACTGTTTTATTCCTTCTAAGCTAAACACATTCTCAAATAAAAAATCATAATTTAACCTAATGGAATACAAATTTGAAATAGTGCAAGGGTATGGCAGAAATGCTATACACATGTATATTCTATACATGCCCTTTTAGTACTACCCATAGTTGTGCTAAAGACAGAAATATAATATAAACCACTTATGTAATTTAAAATTTCTAGTAGCCACATTTAAGAGTAAAAAGAAACAGGTTAAATTAATTTTAATAGATATATTTGTTAGCTCAATATATCCAAAGTGTTAAAATGTTATAATTTCAATATTTAACCAATAAAAAATTATTAATGAGAATATTTTTCTTCTTTGGTTAAGTCTGAAATCCAGAATTTATTTTATATTCATAGTTCAGTTCTAAATAACTATAGTTCAAGTACTCAGTAGTTACATGTGGCTAGTGGCTACTGTAGTGGACAGTACAGATCTATAGGATTGCTTTTATGGGGACCCAGTTAGCCAACACATCCTGTGTTGTACTATTACAAATAGAAATAAGCTTACCAAGTTTTTAACCTAATGGCCCCAAAGAATTATGATTTCCTCATCCAATCTTAATAGGAGTTTATGAAGTAGAAAATTCATTAAAATCCATGTTACTAAAAATTTGTCCATAAAAACAAAATACAGGTTAAAGTGTCTGCAATACCTTTACCTTTCAAGCATTTTAGGCCCAAAGTCATTAAACTCATTGATAGTTTCAGTCAATATATTTAGTATGACAATGGCAATAATTTGAAATCCTAATTAACTTCATACCACGTTACTTTAAATTAAAAATATTATAGACAAACTATCAGTGAAGTCACTTGTCTAAATCATGACTTTGAAAAGACTCCTTTTCTTGCTAGCACCATTGGGCAAATGACGAATACCGTATTTTCCGGTGTATAAGTTGACACTGTGTTCTAGTAAAAAGCCTGCTCAGATTGGCCAGAGTCAGAGAGGCTGTCTATTAAAAAAAGAACTGGTGTTGCCTCGGAAGTGGGGGGTAGTCTTATACAGCGAATATAGGCCTAAACCTATGTTTTAACTGTAAAATTAGGGTGTCGTCTTATACACCGGAAAATATGGTAGAGTTTGGAGTTTCTTGATATTAATTAGTATAAGAGGACACATTTTACTTAGAATATTTTTATTTTATATCTTAACCTGAACATATAGCATATATAGAGGTTATTAAATTTTATTCTCTGGCCTTGATAACCAATGTACCTCCTGAATTTAATATATTCAATCAGTCTATTCAAAACCCATTTGTCAAACCTTTAATCATAATTTTTAGGAAATTACATAGATTTTGCAAAGAGAGTTAACTTATAAATTGTTTAAAATTTGGGACTTCCTTTATAAATTTTAGGTTGCTTTAAAAGCTTACCCAAGAGTCTGTTTAAACTATAATATATATTTTTATTTTTTAATAAATGTTTTTATTGATTTGAGAGAGAGAGAGAGAGAGAGAGACATCGATGAGAAAGAAACATCAACATCCATCAGCTGTCTCCTGCACTTCCCCTACTAAATCCAGCCTACAACCCGGGCATGTGCCTGACAGGGAATCAAACCTTGACCTCCTGATTCATGAGTCAAAGCACAACCACTGCACCACACCAGCTGA